ATCACAACACCAAGTCCAACGACCTCATCTTTGGACTACTGAGCTCAGGTTCAATTCCCTTTAGAAAATATCTCAGAATGACGATCGTCTCATCACGATGATTAACGGATTCCATTATTGCATGTATATGATCTTTAACTGCTTCGCCCATATTCCCAAAGTATCGAGATTGATCTTCTAATTTAAGACCTCACTCATTGGTAACTCAAAGAACTTGAACTAGCAATTAAAGGTACATTACTTGCTCAGGATTTACGTGACTTGTTCGATAATCGAGTGGCGTCTCATTTCGAGTGGTCACAAATGAGTCCTTCACGCGGTCATTTCAACGTGCTTCAAAACACGTTATTGTTCTTATTCCCAGATTTAGACAAATTTCAATAAGAACAATGCCATCTTATCAACATAAAGCGTCTAACTTCATGTACCGATTGTGAGCTATATATTTTAATCATATAACGAATTGTGTTTCACAATACCCAAACTGTCGAGTATACAATTTCTTATTTCATATGATCATGGAACCTTAGATTATTGTCACGGATTCTAACACGCGAATAATAGAATATTAATTCATAATATCGTTACAATATACTTGCTATAAGAGGGCATCAATATATTTTAATCATATAACGATTTGTGTTTCACAATACCCAAACTGTCGAGTATACAATTAGTTATTTCATATGATCATGGAACCTTAGATTTTGTCGTAATTTCTAACACGCAAATAATAGAACGTTAATTCATAATGTCGTTACAATATACTTACTATAAGAGGGTATCAAACTAAAAATAAAAAAATTATTCAATTATTTTTGGATATGATATCCAATTTTGGAAAAAAATAAAAATAAAAAAATTTCTTAACATGTGTTTCTCATTGGATGTTGGTCCATTTATTTTGGGATCTTTAAATTATTCCATTATTTTTGGATAATTACATAAGCTATCCCAATTATTTATTTATTTATTTATTTTTTTGGGTCAAATTCCAATTAAAGTTTCTATTTTCCAAAATAACTGTTTTAAAAAATAAATCCTACCATACAAGCGACACCTCCAAACCCACGAATTGGTCGGAAACCCAGCCCATCCTAACCCTACTCCCAAACCTCTACGTACCACGGCGAAAATTTTTCGGTGAGTGCTCGATATGATTTATCATAAAATCAGATAAAATTTTCCCTGCCATGCTTCAGCCTCTGCACAGTGGTGAATTTTTCAGGTTTGGTAAATGTTATGGGGAGGAAATATGTTTAACATATTATAAAATAAAATACATATATTTCAATGTCTTTTAACCGACTCTTCTTCCTTGTCAACGCTACCAAGGCAACCGGTTAGGAAGTGCCTACTTGACTTGTGAAAGATAATGAACATGGGTAATTCAAAAGGGATAAGGTGCAACTTAGTTTCGCAAGCCTTGTCATTGTCAGTCAACTAAGTAGGGCCATACCGGTTAGGGAGTGCCTACTTGACTTATGAAAGAAAATGAGAATGTGTTATTCAAAAAGGAAAAGGCGCTACCTAGTTTCGCAAGCCTTTGTCATAGTCAGTCAACTAAGTAGGGCCTGAGGCCCCCTACGAATTCGTATATAAGGACATGTCGGTTGAAGTAAATTTTTCTTTTTGATCAATCAAAACCCCTTCCCGTACACGTCAAAACAATTTCATTTTGAAATTGATGATGAAAAGTAGTTATCTCGTTTATATATTGAATCAAATTACCAAGAGTATTATAATTTCGTTCAAAGTTTATTTAGAAAAATGAATCGAATTTCATCAATGTTATTTTGGTTAAAATTACAGTGAAAGTGACATCTACACCTTCATATTTGGGGTACTTATAAAAATACCCTTAAAATTAGAGATGTTTTGAAAAATCTTATGAAAAGTTTTTAGGAAGTAAAAAGTACTGTATAAAATGAAAAAGTGACAAAATGCCACTTTTTTTTTTTATAAAAAATGTCACTTTTTAACTTTTTTTAAAAAAGTAACACAAACTCAAAAAAAGTGACAAAACTAAAAAAAGTGACAAATACCAAAATAGCACCATCCATTTGTGTAACACTAGTAATCATGTTCTTAAAATAATCATCACGTTCAAGCCAATCCACATGTTGATTACGTAAAAAAAAAAGTGATAATGAAAATGTGATCCACTGTCACTTTTAAAGTTAAGTGTCATTTTTTTGTTATACAGTGTCACTTTTATTAAAAAAATTGATGTTTGTCACTAAAAAAAGTGATAGAAATCAAGAAGGTGACTGAAAAAAGTGATAAATATTAAAAAAAGTGAAAATTCAAAAAAGTGGCACAAATTAAAAGAAGATATACATATTAAAAAAGTGACAGATAATAAAAAAAAAGTTTCAAAACACTCAAAAAGTGACAAACTCAAAAAAGTGACGAAAATTAAAAAAAAAGTGACACGAATTAAAAAAAGTGACAAACACTCAAAAGTGATGAAATTAAAAAAAATGACAAAAATAAAATTAAAAAAATGACAAAAATAATATGATGGTGATTTTCTCATTGAAAAAAATCTACATATAATCAAATTCGCGCAAGATAAGAATCCATCCTTACTTTATTGAATATTTGTCACTTTTTTCACTTACTGTCACTTTGTTTGGGATAGAAAAGTGATAGAATGTCACTTTTTCATATTCCCATTACAACAAACACCTTGGATGCATCAATTAAATTGAATCAAAGAATTATAAATTGAATGCAAGGCTAAAACAAAGTTTGAATTCGTATATTTAAATTTTCAAAAACACACATATATTTAGTTAATTACTCTAATAAGATACTGCGACTTTTTTAGGAAAAAGTGATAATATCACTTTTCACATTCTCATTTTTACAAACACCCTGACTGCATCAACTGAATCCAAGATCGGCATCCCCTACCCACAAGCCATTGTTTCCACTATCTCTACAATCTTAATTGCAAACCCCACCACCTTCAAACACCCCAACCATAATAACATCATTTTTTTCCGAAAAGGTTACTTTACAAACTTTCTTTATAATCTTTATGAAACTCAAAGATTCAAAACCTCCAACTCTTTTCAGAGACAATTGGCATCACATCAGGAGGAGATTCTTGATGCTGATCAATGGAAGTTTGAGAAGAACTCTTCATGATATGGTCAGAATCTCGACTTCAAGACCATTGGGTTTGTCCTTTTAGGATGTATTAATTACGTGCTAATTGCTTTAATTAGTTTTAAAAGGCTATTATTCAATTTAGTCATTTTAAAATGGTAGTAGGCCTAATTTACCCTTCATATTTTCGATTTGGCACTACCCAACATATCTAAAGGACCTTCCAATTTAAGAGTACAAGATTGTATCATTAAATGTAAAAACTTAGTATAACAGTTATATTCAAACGTTCTACTAGAAAATAAAAAGAAAAAAATATCTGTTGCAAATGTCGTAAAATACTATTATTAACCATACATGGAGTACAAGATATGCTAAATATTTTATTAGTCAAATTAAAATCTTGTGAAGAATGTGCTACAATTTTTGCAACATGACTACTATGTTCATCTGATGGAATGTGTTTAAAAGGAAAAAAAAAAAAAAAACCTTTATAAGAGTAATGCATAGTATAAAAGAAGAAATACTACATCCATAGTTTATAAAAAAAAAAATAACATTGTTTCTTCTTTCATCTTATCGGATACTGTGACATAACTGACATTTCGTCTAATCTTGGAAAGTGTTACAAGAAATTGAATAAATATTTTTTAATTTTCCGAAGAAGAAGATGATGAGCAAGTCA